GCCAGAGCTAGACGCTGACTTGATAGTAGTTGAACCGGTAGAACAGGGTGTGGTAGTTGAAGTAATGGCAGTGGTTGCAGACGTTAAAGGAGCAGTGGTTGTTGAGCTAGCATAATTCGATTTGGTGTTTGAAGTTTGGCCAGAGCTAGACGCTGACTTGATAGTAGTTGGACCGGTAGAACAGGGTGTGGTAGTTGAAGTAATGGCAGTGGTTGTTAAGCCTGTAGATGAAGATGAAGACGTTAAAGGAGCAGTGGTTGTTGAGCTAGCATAATTCGATTTAGTGTTTGAAGTTTGGCCAGAGCTAGACGCTGACTTGATAGTAGTTGAACTGGTAGAACAGAGTGTGGTTGAAGTAATGGCAGTGTTTGTTGAACTAGCACCATTCGATTTGGTGTTTGAAGTTTGGCCAGAGCTAGACGCTGACTTGATAGTAGTTGAACCGGTAGAACAGGGTGTGGTAGTTGAAGTAATGGCAGTGGTTGTTGAGCTATCATAATTCGATTTAGTGTTGGAAGTTTGGCCAGAGCTAGACGCTGACTTGATAGTAGTTGAATCGGTAGAATAGAATGTGGTGATTGGGGTAATGGCAGTAGTGGTTGAGTCGGTGGTAGATTTTAAGGTAGTAGAGGGTGTAGCGATTGTAGTAGGTGAAGTTTGGTCTGAGCTAGACGCTGGCTTGATAGTAGTTGAACCGGTAGAATAGAGTGTGGTGATTGGGGTAATGGTAGTAGTGGTTGAGTCGGTGGTAGATTTTAAGGTAGCAGAGGGTGTAGCGATTGTAGTAGACGTTGATGATGCAATTTTTAGGCTGGTAGAAGAGGGTGTAACAGATGTTGGAGTTAAGGCGGAGCTAGACGTTAAGGCAGTAGAAGGTGGTGCTATAATTGTAGTAGAGTCGTTTTTGTCGCTAGATTTATTAGCGGTGATAGTAGCTGCATTGCTAAATAATAGTACAATGTATAAAAAAATAAAATATTTTGGTTTCATGGTTGTCGGAATACGTCAACCACTTTCCTTTGTTTTCAAGATAGGTTTGGAGAAATTTTTTGCGCGAATTCAAAAATGTTTTCAAGATTTTTCGTCCTTTATGTACTTGATAAAATTTGCATACGTGTTTTTCATAAACTGTCATTTTTTACATTTGATACTTGTTTTAGCAAAAACATTAATGAATAATTACGGCACATAAAGGCAACTCGTTCAATCAAAAGATGCATTGTGCAATTTTTTATTTTTGAAGGATATGAAAAGTCAATCAGTTTGGTAGAAGCTTATGCGATTAAAACAAACTCCTGCCAAGTTTTCAAATTTTCTGGACGCGAATACTAATTATATGCTATTGCTTATAAAGAAGGCTTCCCCTGTAAGACCTAAAAATGGGAACTAATGTCCGCGCAGATTTTTAAATAAGGAACATATCAATAAGAATCGATAAGAACGCGGTAAGCTTGATCGAATCCTAGTTTATGAGAGAACAAAAAAAATTACTATTATTTTTCTAACTGAATATGGGTAATTATTTTCGAAGACAACAGGGATTTTTTTTGGCACTATAATTGTGACCCTAAAAATTTGCATTGATATGTATTACTTAAAAAATAGGAGTCGAAAAATCTTATTTAATATTTCGTCGCCTTCAAAAATAATTTACAACATTTGTGGTGATAACTTGTTAAGTCAAACAATAACTCGATTTGAGGCAGATATTTATTACTGATTTTTAATAACCAGTGCCAACGTTTGTACAGCACCCTTGCATTATTTTCGAACTCCTGCACAGACCTCCGAAATTATTAGTTGATAATTAATGATCTTTTTTATAACCTGCGTATTTTTAATTATTACAGCATATGAGCCATTAAGAGATTAGAACTGTCGATTGTAATTGACATTTGTTCGGCTATATTCGAACGTAGCAATCATGTGATCGTTTAATATTGTCATTTTTCTACATGTCAAAATGCTTTAAATATAAAATAATAATTTTACTTAAACTTAAGTTATGGGTAGCCTAATTTAAAATTTGCTGAATACATGTTAATAAGTAACTTTTTTTTCGGTAAAGGGTGCACGTAGCACATGGCTTATATTGAGTTATTTATATATTCGATTACATGTATACATAAGTTAGTTCACTCCCCACCTATAGTCTTACCTAGTTATACAAGTTTTACTTAACTAATAGATGGATTTATACACTGAGTGGAATCTTTAGAAAATAAAATACTATTACTAGTTTATAAAATATCTAACCTAATCTAGATCCTGGCATTGTTATTTAGAGTATTGTAACAGGGAAAAATGGAACGCGACGTCTGTCACGTGATCGATCGTCGTGATTATGGTGAGTTGGTTGTGATAATTATGTAATAAAGAAAGGATAGAAAGGATTGTGAAAATGATTATGTAATTTAGCTTTGGCCATGTCGCTGTATCATTACATTTGGCTATGGCGGCTTAGACATAATAATAATTAAAGTATAAATAATATGTAAATTATAAAAAAGTAGAGTAAGAAAATCAATAAAGACTTGGTCAAATAAAATATGCCTCAAATCATCCACTTATTCATTTACCTGACAACAGCTATGTGAATCTCTGCTAAAGTTAATGACTGACTTGCTGTTATACCATTACAGTATATACTTTTCAGAATTATTAGAATATTCAGATATTTTATTTAATATTTTTTACTTAAAATTTTGAAAAAGATATTATACTTATTGTTATTACCTGTGGCTTCGGATTTTTCTTGCTATTGAATTCTCTTTTTTTAAAATAAGTATCAGATTGGAATAGTTTCAGGCTAGAACATTATTTATATTATAGAATTTGTTATATTAATTAAAATAATTAGTTTATATAAAAACTAAATTAAAGGTTTTTTTTAATACAGCTGTTTTACTTTAATTTATTTTTAACTTATAATTGTTAAAAAGATCTGAAATTTCATTTTTATGTAGTTTAACTAGGATTCTGAATCAAGTATTGAAATAGTACTAACTAGTGTCATATATCATTTCTACTTCAAAAAAAGATAAAAACAAAGAACTAGTAGTAGAAAGGTACTTTAGATAAACAGAGTCAATATAATATGCTAAAGTTCCTAGAGAAATACAAATTAGTATAATTCTGAGATGTATGGAGTCAGGCAAAAGAGGCAATAATGATTTGTTTTTGTAAAGGTCAAGTTATTTATTCAATCAAATATATATTCAAGCCTGCCAATTTCTAAACAAAATTAAAATCTTTATATATATATTTAAGTTATAATATTTTTGTATATAATAAATATATACTATGGTAAAGATATAAACTAAGATATAAACTAAGATATAGATACTATCTTTGTCAAAATATTCAACTGTGTTAGCATTTATACAAATAAATATTTAGATAAAGATAATATAGAAAGTAAGAATAAAATAAAATAGAAATATTTTAGAAATGGTAAAAATGCAATAAATACAATAGATGTTGAAGATATAGTAACAGATATGTGATATGAGACTATTCTAGAACAACTAATATTTCAAGGGTTAATGCTAGTGAAAATCAAACAAGAGGTAGTAAAAATCTTGAACAAAAATCAAGTGTAACACTAGATATCTACTTATAATAAATTTAATATATAAGTTATAACCTATTATATTAAACCTATAGTAAGTTTAATATCAACTTGATATCAAAATATTACTGTTAAAAATTCTAAGTTTAACTATATTTAATAGAAATCTAAATGTTTGATTACAATATATATATTGTTACAGTGAAATGCGACGAGTCTGTCACTTCTGTTCTGTCTATACCTACTACGTTAAGGAATGGCTTCTCCTCAAAAGAGATGTGTATATTTGGTTCAAGTTTAACAATAACACAGGTCGATCCATCGATCGTGCATCGTAACTGCCAACCTCCTGCATGGTCACTCCTTTGTTTAGTGACATTCTCAAGATAGATAGCCTTTTTAGTGTGCAGTGTCTATCCTCCTTGATTGCCATATTTTTATATCATTATCTTATTTTTATACTTTTTATGCTTGATATAATTTAGCCAGCTTTGGACTTATTATCC